AGACCCAGATTCAAACTAAAAAACATAAAGGTAGACCGTCGTCTATGGTAAACTGTCATCTAAACTAGAAACATTAAGGTAAACCGTCATCTAAACTAGAAACATTAAGGTAAACCGTCATCTAACTAGAAACATTATGGTAGACCCAGATTCAAACTAAAAAACATAAAGGTAGACCGTCGTCTATGGTAAACCGTCATCTAAACTAGAAACATTAAGGTAAACCGTCATCTAACTAGAAACATTATGGTAGACCCAGATCCAAACTAGAAACATTATGGTAGACCTTCATCCAAACTAGAAACATTATGGTAGACCTTCATCCAAACTAGAAACATGTTAATAAGGTAGACCGTCATCTAACTAGAAACGTTAAGGTAGACCGTCATTTAAACTAGAAACATTTATGGTGAACCGTCACCTAAACAAGAAACATTTTATTTAGGTAGACCGTCATCTTAACTAGAAACATTAAGGTAGACCGTCATCTTAACTAGAAACATTAAGGTAGACCGTCATCTTAACTAGAAACATTAAGGTAGACCGTCATCTTAACTAGAAACATTAAGGTAGACCGTCATCTTAACTAGAAACATTAAGGTAGACCGTCATCTAACTAGAAACATTAAGGTAGACCGTCATCTTAACTAGAAACATTAAGGTAGACCGTCATCTTAACTAGAAACATTAAGGTAGACCGTCATCTTAACTAGAAACATTAAGGTAGACCGTCATCTTAACTAGAAACATTAAGGTAGACCGTCATCTTAACTAGAAACATTAAGGTAGACCGTCATCTTAACTAGAAACATTAAGGTAGACCGTCATCTAACTAGAAACATTAAGGTAGACCGTCATCTTAACTAGAAACATTAAGGTAGACCGTCATCTTAACTAGAAACATTAAGGTAGACCGTCATCTTAACTAGAAACATTAAGGTAGACCGTCATCTTAACTAGAAACATTAAGGTAGACCGCAATTTAAATTAGAAGAATTAAGGTAGCGTCATCTAAAGTTGAAACATTAAGGTAGACCGTCATCTAAGCTAGAAACAGGTAGACCCTTAACGAGACCAACTCGGGAATATTTGTTCCACAATAAGTAGGCCTCTGATTGTCACGTACGAATGATAGTGATAGCAAGTGAATATCAATTATTATAGATATAAAATATATATAATATATAGTCAGATGTAGGCAACGATAACAAGTGACTTATCAGTTATATATAATATAACATGGTGAGATGATGGCGGAGATAGCGGTGATAAAGACTGACCCCCGATACGACATCCAGGGCAGGAAGTTGTAGGTCTAGCCAGAGTCACGTAAAGAGGACATGAGTGCACCAATTCGTCCTCCCCTGTTCCAGTTTGACCAGATCATGTCTGCTCCACTTGTGGCGTGCATGCACGTACTCATGACTCATGGCCATGGCCTAGCCTAGCTCATGGCGTACTCAAATATAGTGCAGTCAAAAATTCGTGATGGGACTTAATATAGGTTCGTGGTGCGAATTATTTTCAGATATAATCTCCTCAACTATCGAACATAGGTTCTCCAATTTTTGCACAGTGACTTGTATCAATTTGTCTTAATAGATCATTATTTTTGTAAACACCTGTAAACTGTATTCTAGAAAATTCCTTAATAAATACTAATTTAAAAATCCAAGTAGGTGGTTTCTACAGATTTTAAAAAAGTTAACAGCTGGGGCAATATTGCTTTTAATAGCTAGTCTGTCAGGTTTTTCAAATCGGAACATTGTGCTTATTGAAAGCATGTTTTGAGAGCCATTAGTGCAAAAATGTTTTCTCTATAACAATAATTTCTTGTAACAAGTTCTGAAAGTAAAAATTGTCTTTGATGAGCTGTGACGTAGGCCATATATGCGTAATCAAAATGTGTGTGAGAAGCGGGAAGTGCTGTGAACAATACCATTTTACGTGTGACAGAACTTTCAAGTATTTTATACAAATTTATGAAGAAAATGTTTTTAATCTAGTCCCAATTATTCTAGAAAAATATGATTTAGTTAAGACAAATTGATACAAACTGCTAGGCTATGCAAAGCATGGATGACATTGATTCACCCTTTAAAGAGATATTTGAGGATAAGTTGCACCACGAATTTTTGACCGCCCAACTCTAGTTGTGTTATACACTATAAGGTCCTTGGCTCACAAAAATAGCAGGGTGCTTCATTAGTTCAATTGGTTCTGTCATGCTGGGCTACGGAGCGAAATGGCCCTAGTTCGAGTCTCGCATGGTCGCTTTTAAGGACAAGCGAGCTGACCAAGATTTTGGGGTTTTCAGAAATCTTGACCTACACCAAAAGTGGGCATTGCCTTACCTATAGGAGAAGTTTGGTTTCCTCGGTGTGTATATTTGTTTGGTTATAGAGAAAACTCTCCTTGTCTTTTAAAGAAACTGAATTAGGGGCAAAAACTTTTCCTTCGATTTTTTCAAAACAGCATTTTTCGGGATAGCCCCTTTGTGCTTAAAAGCGACCATATAGGGCGTTCTTGAACTCGGGTAGTTTTGTGGAGTTTTCAAGGCTCTCAACCTTGGCTTTCTGGGTAATCTGAGTAACCTAGAAATCCTAGCCCTCAACCCATGTGGCTCTGTCATGTCTGGGACGGGCGGCAAGTTCGGGAGTCTCGCTTCTTGAATGACCTAACAGTGTGGACAGGGGTGTTAAATCCACATATCGACTAAACCGAAAATCAACTCAAGTGAGTTCAACACAGGCGGAGTCAACTGTAATATATTGATGATACTTTTTGTTTTCTTTTTGGTAAGTGTGATGCGGCGCTCGCAATTTGCTTAAGATCATGAGCGCGCGGGACACATGAAAATTAAACATTCTCAGTTGGTAGGAAATTTTGAATTTTGCCCGTGTGGCGGCTGAAGCCTAATTTCATCGATTATAGACCACCAAGGCTTCTTTAACGAACGCAACTTGCACACGGGACCTCCGAGATTTTTCGCCCTTGTCCGAGAAGACTAGGTGTAGATCTTTCCTACCAGAAGATCAAGGGTGTGGCTGAAAGACAGCAGTAAGAAGGAGCTAGAGAGTAGTAGTAGTAGTAGTAGAAAGGCTGCAGAAAAAGTCAGAAGCTCAGAAGAGGGGGCAAAGGAGGTGAGGGGGGGGGGGCAGAAAGTGAAGACAAAAGCAGACGACAGAATAGAGCAGGAAATGAGGTGAAAGGAGACCATTTTAGAGAAAAAAAAATTTCCATCGCTACCCAGATTCGAACCCGGGACCTTTGAATGAGAGGTGATCACCTTAACCTCTAGGCCACGAGAGCCCTCGACCCTCCTTCGAATCTCAGAAGGGCGTTCTTGAACTCGGGTAGTTTTCTGAAGTTTTCTAGACTCCCAATCAATGCTTTCTGAGTGACTCTGAAAGCCTAGCTCTCAACCCATTTGGCTCTGTCCTGTCGGAGACGGACGTTAAACTCGGAGGTCCCGCCTCTTAGATAGAACCTATAAGTGTGGACACGGGCGATAAATCTACAGCCTTTTTTTTTTAATTTACAGAAATAGCTGTAGGAGCAGGCGTAGCAAAAGTTAATAACTAATGCACACAACCTACTGCCAATCGAAAGCAGTCGAACTGAGTCGGGGCCAACCAGCATTAATTCCTCCATGAAGGGTCATAAGCTGCCATTTTGGTACAAATTGGGATCTAATGTCGGGGAGTGAAAAAAAAAAAGAGATAAACTCATCCGAAGTTTAAATTAAGCGTGGTGATCGGTAAAGAAAAATTGCTTGGATTCGATGAAAAGATCAACTTAACCGGTACCGGTACTAATACTGAGGGTAATTTGCCATATTTGCAACAACAACAACAAAAGAAGTTTCATTCAGATATCTAGATTCTAGATATAATGTTTCACATGATCGTCGGTCGTGGCAAACTGGAAAATATTAAACGAGGGGTATGGAATAAGGAGCCGGGGGGGGGGGGGGGGCAGCAAAAAAAACCCTGAAAAAAAATAACCCGGGGGGGGGGGGGGGGGGGGGGTGACGTTTATTTTATACCTTACAGTACTTTTAATTAATATAAAGTTGTGGACGACACAAGTGTTTGTTGTCGGACAAGTGTATCAGGGCAGCTGCAGGAGACGACCGCAGTTAGTGGCGGATCATTGCACATCAATCTCAGAGGTCTCCGAGGCAGAGATGACACCCACCTACCACTCACCCAACTTTACATCGTGGCCTAGAGGTGTTGGCCTCTCATTCAAAGGTGCTGGGTTTGAATTCGGGTATAGACGGAAAAATTTTCTTCTCTAAAATTGTCTCCTTTCACTTCCTTTCCTGCTCTCTAGCAATGTTCTGTGTTCTGCTTTCGTCTCCACTTTCTGCCCCCCCCCCACCCCCTCACCTCCTTTGTCCCCTCCTCTGGGCTCCTGACTCTTTCTGCAGCCTTTCTACTGCTTCTCCTTGGTCACTTCTTACTGCTGTCTTTCAGCCACACCCCTGATCTTCTGGTAGGAAAGATCTACACCTAGCCTTCTCGGACAAGGGCGAAAATCCTCGGAGGGCGGGCTCTTTTAAGATCCCTTGGTGGTTTAAAATCGACAAGAGTAGCCTTCGGCCGCCACCCGGGCAAAATTCAAAATTTCCTACCAACTGAAAAAGTTTAAAGTGCCCCGCGCGCTTATATGACCTCTATGCAGTTGCGGACGCCGTAAAAACCTACCAAAACAAACCAAAAAAAAGGGGGGGGGATTGGAATAAGATTGCTGCGACCCCACAAATAGTCACGTTAAGTTTGGGGGGCGTTTGTTTGGGGGGGGGGGTGGCAATTTTTTTACAGCATCTGCAACTGCATAAAGGTTATATATAGCGCGCGGGGCATTTTAAACTTTTTCAGTTGGATCTTTAAAGAGCACACAGGCCCTCCGAGAATTTGCTGGCCATCAATAATGTATTTATTTTATAGAGGCACCAGCCATCCATGTCCAGGTGTTGTTTTAGCCTGTAAAATATGCTCACAAGTTTGGGAGGACACAAGTATTTGTTGGACAAGTGCATCAGGGCAGCTGCAGGAGACGACCAAAGTGAGTGGCGGATCATTGCACGTCAATCTCAGAGGTCTCCGAGGCAGAGATGACACCCACCAACCACTCACCCAACTCTACTCAACCAGACATTATAACGAACAGTTTACAGACACCCCCCCCCCTATCCCCCTCCCGTCTGAGAGCCATCATGAGCTGGGAGGAAGGGAACCCCCCCCCCCCCGAAAAAAACAACAAAAAACCAATATCACTAATGCAACAACAGCACTTTTTCAAGACCTACATAACACATACATAATGGTGACAGGAAGAATCACAATGTCCTTTTTTTCCGGACTCTCAAGGGGTTACACTTATCGCTGGAGGTCAGGATGGGCGTGTGTGTGTTTGTGTGTGGGTGTGTGTGTGTGTGTGAGTGTGTGTGTGTGTGTGTGTGTGTGTGTGTGTGTGTGTGTGTGAGTGTGTCTGTGCGTGTGTGTGTGTGTGTATATATGTGTGTGTGTGTCTGTGCGTGTGTGTGCGCGTGTTTGTGTGTGTGTGTGTGTGTGTTTGTGCGTGTGTGTGTGTGTGTGCGTGCGTGCGTGTGTGTGTGTGTGTGTGTGTGTGTGTGTGTGTGTGTGTGTGTGTGTGTGCGTGCGGGCGTGCGCAGTTCATGCTTAAGTACTCATGATGACAATGTTATATTACAATTGTATTTTTGTCTTAGGTCAAAGATCGTACAAAACAAAATTGTTCGCTCAGCCAAAAAAGTGTCCGCGGAAGCGGATCTCCGGAGGAAGTCTGCGCATTGATTCAGATGGCGCTGCAGTCTTTGTTTTGAGGCTATCTTTTGTTTCTCCAGAAGAAGAATAGGAACAGCACAGTTTGTTGTTAGTTTCACTTTTATTGTTTTTCACACAAGTAGGCTAACTGTTAGCAAAGTCCGCGCTTTTTGAAAGAGAGCGGAGCGCCTCCGAATTTTGAGACTTTTTTAAAAATTTGCTCCAAAAAAAGGAGTGAACCATCTTGTATTTTATACACGATCTTTGGTTTGGTACGCACCGACTTAATTACTGCACGGTATCTGGTACACCATTTTGAAAGGGTCAAGAGAGAGAAAATAATGCTGTCACATTTATCCTACCTATCACGGCTATTTTGTTAGTCCCTTGTCCTGGTTTAATGCTGGGTGCTTGTCAGTTCGGTATAGTGAAGAAAACGTGTTAGCATGGTAGTAATATTATATGCTTCAAGAAGATAAAAAAACAGAAAAGAAGAGGGAAATTGTTCGGTACTGAAGATGATCTTTGTTTGAACTTTCAACTATTAACTTTTAGTTACTGAAATCCCAGGTTACACTTTATTAAATAGTTTTGCAAGGAGGTATGGGCAAGTGGAGTCTCTCTCTCTCTCTCTCTCTTTTTTTTAAATCTCTCTCACTCTCTCTTTCTATCTCTCTCACTCTCTCTTTTTTTTTATCTCTCTCACTCTCTCTTTCTATCTCTCACTCTCTCTCTCTCTTTCTATCTCTCTCACTCTCTCTTTCTATCTCTCACTCTCTCTCTCTCACTCTCTCTCTCTCTTTCTATCTCTCTCACTCTCTCTTTCTATCTCTCACTCTCTCTCTCTCACTCTCTCTCTCTCTTTCTATCTCTCTCACTCTCTCTTTCT